ATAAATTATTTTTTTCTAAATTATAGTGGGCTAAGGTCTACGACCCATCATGACTATAACAGGTCATGATCAGTCACCTCGTTTTTGCGGTCAAAGATGGGCGGGCCAAAACAGGGTGGACTGACCTGTTTTGCCATCCCTAACAAACCCCCTCTCTCTCTCCTCTCCTCTTACTCATCATCTTCTTCTTACTTATCTTTCTTCATAAGCTAAAAATCATATATATCTCATACTTTTTTACTCTCTTTTGTATTTACTTTCTTAAGGTTTCATTTTTTCTCTTAGTATTTTTTTCTCTCACCACTCATTTATTATGTTTTTCTATTTGTGCTTTTGTAGAAATTGAGTAAGAAAAATTATGAAGTTTTTTTTTTTTTAATTTTAAATAGGAAATAGATGGTTCAATTAGTAAACATACTTGTGGTCTTGATGATGTTGTCAATGAAAATAAATTTGAGAACGAGATTATCTTAATTTTATTGTTCTAAAATATAATTTATTAAAATAATATATCAATTTATATTATTAATTTGAAAATATATATATATATATATATATATTTTGAATAATTGACAATAATGATTTTATTATTAAATTTACTAAAATATTTAATTTAAAAATAATAAAATAAAATAAGAAATATGACGGGTCAACTTTTCAGTTTGACCTTTGACGAGCGGGTCGAGATCTGTAATCCGTCATGACTATAACGAAAAGGCATGACGGATCGACATGTTTGTCATTTTTTTTTTTATCAATATTTTGTCTACAGAATGCTATCCTCAAATATTTGGAAAATGATATAATTTATTTAGCTGATAAAATCGAACTAGTATTTTGAAGATTGGATTGAAAATCTTAAGTGAATAAAAACAACGAAAGAAAAAACGGTTTGCAATAAAAAAAATTACGTATTTAATAGACCCGAGAAGGCTATATATATGGCTTTGCATTTGATGCTCATTTGATTACTTTAGACCTATGTGATAATTCAATTACTGTTGTGGAGTTGGAAAATTACTAATCAAGACAATTTTGATGGGAGAAAAAAGTTAGTTGTAAGAGAAAAAAACAATTTCTTTTAAATATAAATCAAGAAAATTATAGTTATTAAAAATAATATAATTATCTATAAATTTTGTTATCTGAAGCTTCAATTAACCGTTTATTATATAAAAAAATATATAAACTTTTATTCTAATTTATAATTTTTCACTAAAAATTGTATATATCTTCTCGTATTTTCTGCTTAACTTTATTTAAAAAATATTAATTCCATTGATTTATTTAATATGCTCTAAAGTCTTCAAAATAAGTTAAAATTTCTCCATCATAAATTGGGTTGTGACATCATTTCAAATAAAAATAAAAATAGTTTCAAACTTGTTGTGCCGATATAGTTGAAAATGTTAATTATTTTTAATTTTTTTCTTTTATCTGGTGTGAAGTTCGAAATAAATAATAAATAGGGGTAGCTAATTAATTATGTATTCACTGATTTTATTTCAATTGTTAGAAGAATGTGACATGAACTTGGGTTGGGACCTTTGTCACAATTCAATTAGAATATATTAAATAAAGCAATAATTTGTGTGAGTCTTACGATGAAATGATAAATTATAAATTAACAATGAGAATAGTAAATGTTTATCTTCAAACATATAATATCTAAAACATTTTCAACTCTATGAAATATCCGGCACAATCAATTGTCTGTTGTGTCTTGTTTATTATTTACTCTAAGTTTCTATATTAATGACATTACTATATATGTTAAAGACTTAGACTCTAGAATTAATGTATTAGTAAAGCATTGAAATATTTTTAAATCTCGTAACAACCATTGGATAAAATTTAAAAAACATCTGGCAAATGAATAGTCATTTTTAAATACTTTTCTGTATTAATGTGGATTAAATTTTCTGTCTTGTACTTGGACATTTTAAAACGATGTCCCAACCCAATTTATTCAGTGTTCATGGAGAAACTTAAACATATTTTTTGAAAACTTTAGAATATATGAAATGAAGGAATGGAATTAATATTTTAAAACCTTTTAACAATTACTGGATGAATTTCACCAACACTAAAATAAAAATAAAATGCTTTTAATTGAAATATAAAATAAAAAATTCTTTAAAATAAAATAGTGCAGTAATTAAATTTAAAATTTTAGAAACGATAACTCTAAAACTGAATTAAGAATTGAAAAAGAGATGAAATGAAAATTTGAATTGAGAATTGAAAAGGAGATGAAATGAAAATCAAGTAATAAAATAAAAATTCTAAATTATTAAATAACAGAAATTAAAATAAATACTAAATAAATAAATAAAGTAAATACAACAATATAAAAAGGGAAATTCAATAGAAACTATAAATTAAATAAAAGAGAATAAACCAGACAATATACAATAGGAGTAGATGAACTCACATAATTAAAAACTAAACTAAAAACTGGGAGTATGAAAAAAAAATGGGAACAAAACAAAACAGCAGTTCTCACCCTGGAGCATGAGTGTATGATTGTGTTATCATAAAACCTCTATTTATAGGAGATTAAACAAAAGAAATTAAACCTAAAATTAATTACAATAAATCAAATGTTTCCAAAATAAAAAATTGTAAAATTGAATTGTTGTAAAGAGAAATTGCTAAAACTTATTTGGAGAAAATAATGCTTCTTTTTTATTTTGAATAATTCAGCACTGTTTTGTATTTAATTTTTTTTCCTATTAATCTTTAATTAAGTTAAATTAGATTTTCATACCATTTAATTTGCTTGATTTAAAATAAAATTTTCATTTATAATGTTCTATAAGTAAATTTAGGTTTTCGAGAAAAATAAAACTTAACAATTAATTTAGATATTTTTTATTATCAATTTGACTCATCTAAATTTATTTTTTTTAGAAAAAAGAAAAGAAATATACATTATAGACGTATGTATTATTTTTTAATGCTAAAATTATATAAATTAAGAAAAATTGAATTATGATATGTTTTAGATGAAAACGTATTATAAAAAAATAATTAACTTAAAAAATATTCTTAAATTAAAAAATAAAAGATAAAATCATATAGATCGAATTTTGTCAGAGAGATAATAACTGTTTATAGCAAAGGTGGAAGAACGAAAAAGTCTTGTTCTGAGAATGTAAAACGAAATACAATCTTATAACTAAATTAAGTTGCAGGTGTGCCGTCCCTGATTGGCCTTCATGATGTGTGATTATATTGAGAATGGATTCATAACCAGTACGAGTGAAAAGTATTTGATCGAGGGAGAATAATATCTTGAGAGATGTTACCCCAAATAAAAATAATCCAAGTTTATTATTTTAAAATATTATATATATTAAACTGGACGTAGATATTGTATTTACAATAAAAAATAAAAAACAGAAAGTTAGACGTGTTAGCTGAAAATGTCTTTGATAAAATATTGATAGACTGAGAAATAATGTGAAGGTGTTACTCAAAATGACAATAATCAAATGCTTTGACACCTTACTACCACAAATTATACAACATTTATATTTATAATACAGAAAAAAATTAGTTGTAAAAAAATTAATCATTATTAATTATTAATTATTAACCAATATAATCCCTAATTCAACAACTAATTTTATATTTAAGTATTTCTTCGATTCTTATTTAATGGTTTTATTATAATATAAGTCAATTGGTCCTTAGCGCTATAGTGTTTCATCTTCAACTTCATTTTTTTTCTTTGATAAATCTTGTTTCGATATTTTTCTTTTTAGATGAGTTAGATTTTTCGTTAAATTAATAACAATTTATTATAATTTTTAAAGTTACAGACTTTTTTTAATTTACCAAGTATTTTCTTTAATGATAATTTTTTATTAGATCATACAACTTATATAAATTTCTATTTAATAATATCCAACCAAAATTAGTTGTTTAGTGAACTATTTTGTCATTTCATCAGAAACGCAAACATCTTCAAATTAATGTTTTACATTAGATTTTTTTTCTAATCAAACTTTTTTAGTATTTTCTTCTTAACTTTATTTAAAAAATATTAATTTCATTGCTTCAATTAATATACTCTAAAGTCTTCAAAATAAGTTAAAATTTCTCCATCAATATTGATAAATTGGGTTGTGACATCATTTCAAATAAAAATAAAAGTAGTTTCAAACTTGTTGTGTGGATATGGTTGAAATGTTTATTTTTTAGAATTTTTTTACCGAGTGTGAAGTTCTAAATACATAATAAATAGGGGTGGATAACTAATTATAGAGATGTTAAAAAAAGACTTCAGAATGTATTAGTAAAGCAATGAAATAATTTTAAATCTCGTAACAACCATTGGATAAAATTTAAAAAACATCTGGCAAATGAATAAAAAATTGAAATACTTTTCTGTATTAATGTGGATTAATTTGGAGAATTTAAAATGATGTCCCAACCCAATTTATTGAGTGTTGACGGAGAAACTTAACATATTTTGAAGACTTTAGAATATATGAAATGAAGGAATGGAATTAATATTTAAAATCTTCTAACAAACAGGGGATGAACTTGACCAACACTAAAAAATGAACAACCATTTTAGACTCTTATTTATACAACTTAATTTAATGAACTCTGTAAAAAAAGATTTTGAAATGAAATATATATTTCACTTATACACAATGAGTACACACAGCATAGATGCATGTTTCATGAGAGAGATAATATTCTTTATTGCAGAGATGGAAGAAGGAAAAGTTTTGTTCTAAAAACGAAAAAACGAAGAACCTGATTTGATCATTCAGATAATCTTCTTTACTGCAGTTTTTTATCCTTAAATTAATGACGTTTATGCTGAGGACATTATAGTTACGGATTAAAAATAAATAATACGAGTGATAATAATTATTAAATCCCTATCTTGCTCTATAAATGGCGCCAAGTGAAGCCATTCTCCACCACACCACATCCTACCCAAATCAAATCAACAAAACAAAGCCAAGTAGCCACCAAAAATGTCTTCGGAAAGCAAACCCATTTTTCGGGAATACATTATTGGTCACAAGCCAGGCCAAGAATTAGATCGTTTCCCAGTTGAAATCATCGACAAAAGAATCCACGATTTCCACTTTATCTTGGCCTTTGCCGCGGACGACTACGTGGAGGATCCTACCACCAAGAAGAGACAAGGTAAGGGAAATTTCAGTCGAGACTGGAACACTGAGATCTTCAATGCTGAAAGTGTGAGAAGGCTAAAGCAGGATTACCCGAACGTGAAGGTGGCAATAAGCTTTGGAGGTCATGGCAGTCAGTTTCCATTCAATCCTCTAAACAGAGAAGTATGGATTGACAATGCCAAGAAATCACTGTCATATATCCTCTTAGAGGACTTCAAGGGTCCTTTGGGAAGTTTGATTGATGGCATTGATGTCTACTATGACTACATCGAATCCAGTGAAGACGACTTTGCCTACTCCATAGGCAAAGTCATAGACCACCTCAAAACCCTCCTCAATGGATTCGTGGTCTCACTTGCTCCATCACACTCTGTCCTTTCCCACTACGAGAGGCTGTACAAGGCTAACACGCACCGTGTTCGCTGGGTCAACTACCAGTACTACTATCAGCCAGTCCCCACCACACCAGAATTTGTGAACCTCCACAAAACCCTAATAGACATCTTCGGTTCTAAAAATCTCTTGGCAGGGTACAGCACTGATCCAAATGAAAGGAGTAAGATACCACTGGAGGTCTTTATTGAGGGTTCCATACAACTCATCTCATCTGGTTTACTCCCTGGACTCTTTATTTCCGATGCTCAGTCCTCCGCCAACTCTGACCCCCACTCTACGCTGAGGAGAAGGCACAGAAACTCCTCACTCCATCTCACTGATTGCCTCCACTCTTCGCTTTTTCTGTAATATATTTCATGGGTCGTACTCGGACTATGATTAATGAGTAGGCACACATACATGCATGCATTATGTATTATGTATGTATGTATGCTTGCTTGCTTGTTATATATAGTCCATATATGCTACCAAATAAGACCCCTACCTCCTTTCTGGCGTGTTCTTTCTTTCTTTGTGTGTTGCTTTTGTATGCTATCCATCTAAAGTATGATTTTCGCCTCTCTTTTATCATCATCTTTCTCAAATGAATGCACTTGTTCAGCTTGTCACTTATCTGCTATATTACTATTTGCATTTACATTTATGTTGAAGGCTGAATCAAAAAATTGAAGTCTCTTTATCACATGTTTCTTACTGGACACACCAATATCTCACTGAGTTCAGAATCAGTCAAATGGAATTTCGCCTTCTAACATCATCATGATTCCCTTCATCTTAACTATGATTTGACAAGAATTCATCAAATTGAGGTTAAATCATCGTGTGGATGGCAATAAAGAAATTGCAAGACTATGATACTATATATATAACTAATCACCATAATTAATCATTATCATTCTTGAGCAAATATTAATAGTCGTGGAGATGATTTTCCTGGGTCTGGTTTGATCAACCAACCATGTGGACAATTCTTCACAGTTTCTGAATCAAAACGACACATAACTTTTATGAGAGAAATAATAGATGAGATAATTAACCAAAGGTATTATATTTATGTTTTTGTTGGATACTATTATATTCCACTTTTCTGATCCTTTTTCTTTAGACTGATCTTTCTCTCTGTAAGTTTACCACTTGGTTTCCGAGTTGTACACATATATATACGAAAATAAATTTGATAATTTAATACATGGAAAGGTATTTGAACGTTATAACATATAAATGAGATGTTTTTACCTGCTCAAAAAAGAATGTTAGAATTTAGTATGGAATTTGAGAAATTCGGTTTCTTATGAACGTGTTCACATAAAGTTTGGTCTATTTCAGTAGTAAACAACTTATGACGTTTGGACAAGTTAAGATCAGTTTTATCTGGACGCTAATGAAAAATGTTGAGGTAGTTTGGAAGTTATTTCTGTTTAAAAGAACTTTCAACTTTTGCAAAAATTATCTTTCCATGTTTGTAGGGTTAGAGTTTTATTTTTCTTATCTGCATGCCATATATTTAATCTTCAAACTCTAAAAAGTTTTAACTATATTATCTTTAAAACACTTAGATTTTAACAGAAAATATATTTGACACTATCAAATAGAGGTCCTTATTTATTGATTATCAATAATTCTCGTTATACCGAACATATATAACAGACCCAAACAATCTCCCAGAAACAGCAGATGATATATGATGCCTTAATAACGTATATGCTCACAAAATATATAATAATGGCTAAACTGATTAAGGGTAAATAATTAACCACTTCAAACGATATTAAATATAAGGAATATATATATATATATATATATATATATATATATATATATATATATATATCTTTGCTCTAAATATAATGGCTTCCCCTTTTTCATCTCGCTCAAAAATTTATCCATAGTGAGTGTCATAAATTGTGGGTCTTGACCACAATTCCATTTGGGTTGTAACCATATAATAACACACAATATCACAAAACTGACACCTGCAATACATTAGCATTATTAAGTAAGTCAGAACTCAAATCTTATCACTAAACCATCCAACAACCAAATCAGGACAGAAGACGAATTCAAACAAAAATAATTCGTCTTAGTAAGTCAGAACTCAAATCTTATCACTAAACCATCCAACAACCAAATCAGGACAGAAGACGAATTCAAACAAAAATAATTCGTCTTAGGTAAACCTTAAATGCATGTGGTTGAAATGCAGTAGTTATAGAGATAGTAGTTGAGAGGTAATAGTTATATTGAATATATGTAATTGAGAGATAGTGGTTGTATTGAATATTTGTAGTTGAAAGGTAGTAGTTGTATTAAATGCATGTAGTTGAGAAGACATATCCAAAGGCCTATAAATTGAACATGTATCACTCATTGCAAACACATCAAGTGATAATATACAGAGTGTTTTATTTAGATACTTGTTTGTCAACAAATTGGTATCAGAGCTTGAGAGCCTGAGTATCTGAGTGCGTTAGAGAGAGTGTTTGAGAGTTAGAGAATTTGTTCGAGATGACCAACTTAGCTAACAGCATGCCCCTGCCAAAGTTATCAAAAGATGTAAGTTATAATAACTGGAGCCTGCAAATGAATGGCTCCTTGGTTCCCAATAAGTATGGGATGTTTACTTCCATTTGTTGAAAACATGTTCATGATGAAATGACAAAATAGTTCAATAATAGAAGCCAACTAATTTTGGTTGGATATTATTAAATAGGAGCTTATAAATTACATGATCTAATCACAAAGAAGATTATTATTAATATAGATATTATAGTCGATGAAAGTGTCAATTGGGATTAGAATTTGATAAAAAGGAACAAGAATATAAGTTTCAATATTTTGTGTGATGATGAAGAAATAAATAAAAGAAACTTGATCCTTTCAAGGAATCCATCAATTCAAGTAAATAATGACTAGAGGAAGGAATCGACTAATAAAAAAAAAAAGAACATTAGTAAAACTTAATGGTTACATGGTAAATACTGATGATACATTTGCATTATTGATTTATATCATTTTATTTTTTATTTATTTTTTTAAAGAGCATTTTTTAAATTAATTATTTTCTTAGAAAATAATTAAAATATTATAATATTTTGAATCAAATACATAGTAAATAGTGAATCGAATACCGTAACAAAACTTTCAATAACAAATGGCTTGATAATTTGGTTCAAAATCTAAAAAAAAAACATTCAATTTGTTGGGTTGATAAAAATAATACATCTTGAAAAATCTCACATCATATTCGATAAGCAATGGAGTGAGTAATAGTAAATATATAATGGACTTAGAATTCATGATGTTTCTCACCTCAGTCAAAGACATTTTAAACATGTATTTGACTTTTCTTATACTCTTGTAGTAGAGTGCTGAGATGATTAATTTAAATTCTTACTTTTGAGAGTGTGGGTGTATTTGGGGTCAAAGGATATGAAAAAGTTGTCTATAATGTTATTATCGTTAGATAACGGTAGTAATTTTTCTTGTGTTTTGAAGTTTTCATGTTATATTCTATTATTTCTCTTTTAGTAGAGTAAGGGGATAAAGATGATGATGTTCTTCAGACATTTTTTTTCCATCACAATTAAATAGATAAGAACAAAATAAGTGGAATAATTACATTAAACAACAATTATACAAAATTAAAAGCAATTAATTGACACAAATTATGGTACTCGATGTATAATTGCTTTATAATATTATTTTAACCACTTGTTTATTTTATTTAGGGATGACAAAACAGGTCAGGCCTAGCGAAGTTATTTCTGTTTAAAAGAACTTTCAACTTTTGCAAAAATTATCTTTCCATGTTTGTAGGGTTAGAGTTTTATTTTTCTTATCTACTTGCCATATATTTAATCTTCAAACTCTAAAAAGTTTTAACTCTTATCTAGATTTTAACATAAAATATATTTGACACTAACAAATAGAGGTCCTTATTTATTGATTATCAATAATTCTCGTTATACCGAACATATAACAGACCCAAACAATCTCCAAGAAATAACAGATGATATATGTTAAGTGGTAAAAAGTTGATATAATTATACTTTAAATTATTATGAAATCACTTAACTTACGTTAATTATAATATATTTTTCTCCCAATATAGGATAAATTCGAGAATACCTTGATATAAGAGTAAGGAACATGATTGTCAACATAATTGGAGCAAAACTAAAAAGAGAAAGAAGATTTTCAGCATAGAAGTCGCTCGAGCAAAATAGACTCTCGCTTGAGCGAATATCAGTTATTCTTCTTTGGAAGTCAGTCGCTCAAGCACTAGTAAATTCGCTTGAGAGAAAATTAGTTATTCTTCTCTAAAATTCACTCACTCAAGCGAGTATTTTATCGCTTGAGCGAAAATAAGGAACTTTTGTTTGAGCGAGTGTTGTCGCTTGAGCAAAAGATGCGAAACCCAAAAACCCAATTTCTCCTATAAAAAGATAAGACAAGTTTTGAGAAAAATGAGCGGTTTTGGGGAGAAGAAACACGACTACTACTAGGGTTTCGTCCAATCTTCATCAATTTTTCACTTCTTCCACATTTGGAGCATTGTAATGGCCAACATGAGTGACTAACTTCATTCTCTTGGGAATTGGTGCACTCTCTTTGAACTCTTTTGTATCATGGTGATATTTTGAGATATTAATCTATGTTTTGATGTTATTATTCTCATCCTTTGTGCTTTGGAATGATTTATTTTTTATATTTGGAATATGATTTGAAAATATATCTTGAACCCTAGATCACAGTAAGAATATTTGTTACGCTAATTGCCAGGAATGAAATGAATGTATCAACTGCTTAACACCCTTAACCTAATGTTGGAAAATCTCTTAATTGTGTGAGAAATCAACATTTATTAGGTTTTCTTATGAATTTCATGTGTGAGGAATCAACATGGATGATTTGAGTAGGTGACATCAACATTGTTAGGTTAATTGATGTTCTTAATTGACATAGTCATTACAAAAGAGGGAAAAGGAAGAAAGTCAATCTTAAGTGTCTTTACTTGATATTTTCTAAACAATTTACAGTTATTTGTCATTTAATTTCAATTCAACTCTTTATGGCAAACTCATTCTGTTTTAATCCACTTAGTAAGTATATAATTGAGAATTTTCATTGAAACTGTTCCTCGTGGGATCGACTTTTATTTAATCAAAATATTATACTACGATTGATAATCTTGGTACGCTTGCCAATAATTCAACAAGTATTTCTGGCACCGTTGGCGGGGAGCGGTGTTCCTTGGAAATTCTTTGTTTAGCTTATTAAGTATTTTATTTTAATTTTAGTTTTATTTTGTTTAAGTATTGTCTTGTGCTAATATTTGCTTGAGTTAC